TCACATCACGAGGACGGTGGTAGTATAGCCTTGATTATTATAATGTGCCCAAACCGTTGTTGTGTGAGTGAATCATCTTCTCATGCCCCCTAACGGGTATAGATGGATTTCGTCGTTGGACAAAGCGTTACTATCCACGCACTTAACTCAGGGAGTCTTGCTGGCGGCGTCTTTGATCGCGAAGGTAGGGGGGTAATCGTTCTCAAGTAATCAGTATGGCAGCGAGAATAACCTATCGTATCGCACCATAAAATGTTGATATCTAGCCTATTTTTTGTCAACATCGCGTATTTAGTACTTAAATGTTTAGTCATTCATAGCAAATGCATAATCAATTTAACATACACAGATTACTATATATGTTACGAACGCAAAAATTACAGCAATCGCGACGTAATGAAATCCGCTATAACAATGATAACCAACGCTAAGTAATAACTCCCTGTAAGGCGATAAAACTCCAGAAAAATTAGCTATCGCATTACTGTGTCAACATTAGAGCTATCATAATAGGTGCTACATTAAGCTATGCAAGTAGCCGTGGTACATTAGAGCGACCTCATAATTAGCTGTGTATATTAAGAGCTATCGAAGTAGTGTCGAACAGCTAGAGCTATCAGAATTAGTGGTAACTTAGAAGCTATCATAATATAGTGGGTATTATTAGAGCTATCATATTGGCTGTAACATTAGAGCATATCTCACCATAATGTGCTACAACGTGTGACCGTGTGGTTACTTATGAACGTGTGACCGTGTGCTTACTTATGCTCATAGGGTCTATGTCCCCCATTGTACTGCCGGAACGTACCCTGGGTACGGTCCGGTATACCGGAACGTACCCTGGTTACTATCTAGCTGATATGGTTAGGTATAGGGTTAGAGTTAGGGTTAGCGTTAGGGTTAGGGAGTAGGCGTGGGCGACTCCCTAGACTCGTAGGAGTGGAGTAGGCGAGGTACGGTCTGGCATATTAGATAGTAGTATTTAGTACCAGGGTACGTTCCGGCAGTAACCTGGGGGACATAGATCCTCTCAGCGTTACTTATGGACGTGTGACCGTGTGGCGAAATTGACAACCGGTGCCATTTACCTGACTCAATAACATCATGCACGAGTGATGTACGATAAACCTAGGACGTTGATAATTGGCAAGATTATAGTCATGCACTTATAGTTGGTCTCTCATCACCAAGCGGTGAACTATTCAGGCTAGCGCAGATCTACCGTGAGATATTAGCTATACTTGTAACATCGGTTATGGGCCATAACTTTCTGAGAATCTTAATAATCATAAGAATCATAGCTGCTCCAGAGAATCTTAAATAAAGACGTTCTTTAACGGAATCAGCTAATGGGAAACAGACGGTGGAATGTTCCGGGTGCCACTACGATGGAACTATATCGTCAGACTTTATATGAGGTCTATCGCATACTATGCATTTTTCAAGGCATACACGTATGCGATGTCCCATGCGATAGTATGACAGATATTCACGATATGGGTAGAATACGGCGATGGGTAGATTATATCACGTCTACATTACTACCCATTTACTGGTGCAATATAATAACACATAATGCTGTATTACTATTACTATACAAGCTTATAAGATGCTTATCACAAAGTATTTCTTATTCGTGAAAATAGTGAAGGGAGCGTCTAAGAATTCCAAGGGCAAACAACAATAGTGGTAGCATTAGCATGCAGCCAATTAAAGTAGCTACAGCATTCGCAAACAACAATAGTGGTAGCATTAGCATGCAGGCAATTAAAGTAGCTGCAGCATTCTCAACCGGCCAATACTATCCAGGTTAGACGCCAATCATAATTTTATTGCCAACCATTCACATGCATGGTAAACGTTGAAGTAAATCCGTGTGTTACTTCGTTAAGCTTCAATTTTTATGGCTTTAAAACCCCGAAACGTGCAGTCAGAAAACAAGTTACCGCCACGCTAAATAATAATCTTAGATACGTTTGCTGTTATATTTATAGTCGCTAATATTTCATATAGTCTACTTTTCTATCGTCGGTGCAGAATAGCTGGATTGTAAGCGGATGATCTTATTAGCAGTCATTTATGACACGACTGTCTAACAGATCACAGTGAACGTTAGCAGGGCTAGCGCGTCAGGGGATGAGTAAATCGTTCGTAATTGCTGACAATTGATTTCGATAGCACGCGTCTCATCGGGAATGTCTTGCGTTAAACACGGACGTATTTATGTACAGCATTGGTTACATCGTTGCTCGAAAACATGCGTAACTACGTCGTTTATATCCCAGATAATCGACTGTCGGCGACATTTACTTGCTCATAATAAGTAAGACGCAACAAGGTCAGGTGCGCACATCCTTACATGATAAAACAGAGAAGGCGCGTCGCGGCATCCACCAACCACAGCTACTGCATTCTATTACATAGTGAAGGCGATCCCGTTCATGAGTAGTCTTAGAAAGCGCTCGCAATGACATTTTCTCATTCAATGTTGCGTGCGTTGAGATTAACAGGTAAATATGTGTTTGCCTACGTGCAATAGGTACTTTTAATTGGCCCAATTAATGTTAATTAAAAAACTGTTAAAATGTTCGGAAGCAGACGTTTTTTAAGACTGCTAGAAATATAGCAATTAAACAAAAAACAATGAAACGTCATTAGCATAATTATTATCACAAGGTTATTTATGAATGTATTAAAACTATGTCGTTTCGTAGCAAGTTTATTAAAGAACAATTACATACCGGGCAGTGCGAAAATGTGTACTGGTCGATGATTGATGCGGACATCATGTAGTTAGATCGTACACAAGAAAAAAACTCCAACTGATTTCAACTTATTATAAGAAAAACATCCGCATTAGAGGGAGAGATTCCCGGCAACAAATTATAATGACGATGATGACATAAAATATGGCAAGCAGCCCAAATAATTTGTCTATATAAGTAAAATCCGCCACTTTTATCATATCTCACTCATTCACTCCACTCACTCACTCACTCACTCACTCACTCACTCACTCACTCACTCACTCACTCACTCACTCACTCACTCACTCACTCACTCACTATACACACTAATTATGATAGCTCTAATGTACACACTAATTATGATAGCTCTAATGTACACACTAATTATGATAGCTATTTTCTGGAGTTTATCCCTTACAGGAGTTTTACTTGCGTTTTACATTTTATGACCGATTTTCATTAACGTCGCGGAATTAGCTGTAATTTTGCGTTACGTAACATATATAACGTATCTGTATGTAAATTATTATGCATTTGCTATGAATGACTAAACAATTTAGTAAAATACGCGATGTTGTAAGGAATAGATATCAACATTTTCATGGTGAGATATCGATAGGTTATCTCGCTGACATATATTACTTGAGAACATTACCTACCCTTCGCGATAAAAGACGCCCCAGCAAGACCCCTGAGTTAGTGCGTGGATAGTCCTTCCACACGAAATCACATCTATACCCGTTAGCGGGCATGAGAAGATGATTCAATCACACAACACGCAACATTATATAATCAAGGCCTATACTACCACCTCCTCGTGATGTGAGTGATATAGGCCACCGTCCGTCATTACAACGTCGAACTGTAAAGGTCAGTAATCAGGTAACATCACTATTCTAATTACTAGAACAGTTTACTCGCCCATTCCATTTCGACCAACCATCGTTTTATGAGTTCAGGTATCCATGATGTGTAAGGATTCATGCGGTTATATACAACTGGAGATGCGATGCCACGTGAACACGGTAGTCAGCATGGTTACTTATAGACGTGTGACCGTGTGGTTACTTATGGACGTGTGACCGTGTGGTTACTTATGAACGTGTGACCGTGTGGTTACTTATGGACGTGTGACCGTGTGGTTACTTATGGACGTGTGA